GATACTCTGGTTGTAACAAGCAGTTATTTGAGTTACTGCTCCCTTCCTATCAAGATTGAAGCAGTCTAGCCATTCTCCTCTGACCTCTGATATCAATAAGACATTTTTTGCTCAGCGCACTTTCCCTCTGCCACTCACTGGACAATTTCTCGTTTTTGGACCATTCTCTGTAAACCCCAGGGTTGGTTGTGTGGAAAAATCCCAGCGGATCAGCAGTTTCTGAAATACTCAGACCAGCCCATGTCTTCATGGCTAAATGCATTGGATTGCTGCCATGTAATTAGCTGATTAGGTATTTGCATCAAAAAGGAGTTGAAGTGGTTGTTGAGTGCATGTCATTGGATATGTTTTGCTGTACCACTGTTTTAATCAGGAGTTATCTATGCGATATGTGATACTAGCACACCATATTAACACACAGCCAGTGCAACCAGCACAAGCATCATACACCCATACAGTAGTTACTCTTAAACTATTCATTAATGTATGCCATGTATCATGTTGACTGATCCACCAGTTTAAGTCAGACTGTTATAATTAGACTGAGCACAAATATCGACCCTCTTGTCAAAATTGTGTGATCATATTGTTCATCTGGATAATGCACAACCCTAATGCACGTATAAACAAGTGTTACATCTCTCACATATTCTATTTTAAAGTGTCTTTCATGTCCGGACAACAGACAAGACAACAGCAACAAACAGACAACCCCAACAGATACTGTAACTGCGTAAATGGGGGCCATAATGAGGCCTCTGTAGCCCAAAAGCATGCAGGTGGCCGGTTAGCTTCGGTGTAACTATGTGATGGAGCAAGAATACAGAAAGTCAGCTCCATACCGCTGACTGGAACAGCCAATGGCAGACAATGAAGCCTGACAGCCTTTCACATCAGCTCGAGTTAACCAGCTGTGAAGGGAACACCTGCCACTGATTAATAAAGAATTACAGCAACAATGCCGTGTGTGAAAATTGCTGTACTGATTGTTGAACTAACAACATTAGCCCCAAAAGGTGGAACAAAGAGGTGAAACAGCAGATTATTCTGTAAAGGACTCACATGTGTCCAAAAAAACCCAAACCCATCCTCAAATGTTTTGCCATTTTAAATGTGTTTAATGCTCACTGACTTTAAAACTAATGGGTAATTTATCTCACATTATTACAAAATAATTTAATTAATTAAAAATAATTCAACTTCATTTATAATAATGTAAACACTTATAGTGAGTTACTTACTGAGGAGTGTGGTTGTGCATACTTGATTTTTGTAATACAAACACTTGCTGTTAATCTTAATCTCACATATTTTATTCAGTGTTTTTTGATTATTATTATTTCAGCTGCGCGGTGTTTAGACTTGGACTCTTGTGCATAATGTTGTTTGCAGTGTTTGTGTTGCAAAGAATGGAGTATTAATAGGCCACCATGACTGAGACTCCTGTAGTGATTAATGGCTCCCAGTCAGCGTTGTTGTTCAAATGTTAATGAAACCAGTGTTCCCGTAATAGTGTGGTGTATGGGACAAACACATCGGACAGGGATCTCTGCCTCCTAAAACTTATTGTAGATAATCTGAACAGGAACTCGTAAGTTTCTTAAAAAGCCACAAGCCAGATAAGGGATGTCAGTAGAAATAGAGTGATTGTAGAGAACCTTTAACAAAAAAGGCAATAACCCTGTATTGTAAATAATGCAAAGCTACTTTAGTGAAGTTCCAGAATAATGTAGCTTCCTTACTCATTTTTATTTGCATATGTATGTTCTGTATGTTTATGCCGATAGTCTATCGCCTATCTTGCCACTACTTGCTCACACTTCTCCCTCCTTGCTCTGTGTCTTAGATTTATAAAATCCCATCTTCAAAGATGAAGCAGGGGCATGTTTCCAAGTTTGTAATCAGTCTTCCTCTGAATTCTGAGCTCCCTTGGCCTTGAACATATCCTATTTCTCGAAGACCAATAATAACACCCTTCTCTGTTTGCTTGCTTCGCTGTAGCATCATGTTGATGTACTCTCCAGGCGGTGGGGAAAAGAGGCTCTCTGGAGACAGTGTGTCCTAGTATGTCCAACTGCTCGCTTTCCTTTATGGATTCATTGGTCTCTGACCAACTTGGTAAAGCCCAGAACAGTTTTCAAGGATATCAAGGGAGTCTCGAAGACATGCCGCTGTAGTAGATCAATATTGATGTTACTGTCATAGCCACAAAAAACAGCATTGCCTTGAGGTGCTATTAAATTAAATATTAATTTTTATGTGTGGGCATTGATTCAAACAGACTTAATTGCTTTTGAAGGGCATTATGCCAGAAGTAGGTGATCTGTCTATCTCTGATACTTTGTTTCTTACGGAGTCTTATAGCACGTCAATTCAATTCAGTCCCAACAACAGTCGCCTTCAAGGTGCTTCACCAGGTTAGTACATGTTAATATTTTTTTTGCAAACTAACAGCTTACAAGGTGACAAGTTTTAATGCTGTTTAATGCTTCATAAAAAACTAAACAGGAACCAATAAAGTGCAGACTGTACTGCATAACACTGTATACAGTATATTTATGTAGTCAATGCAAGACTACAAAGATCGTGAATCCTATGTAAAAGCCTTTATGACATTCTGTAAACAAGGACACTGCTTTGTTTTGGTTATCAGGCAGTTTTGGAATGGATTTTAATATTTTACTGATCACATTTCAACATCATGTGAAAAAGAAAGTTTTGAAGCTTTAAAGCCATAAACATGACGCTCCTTCTCTCTAAAACGAGGATGTCAAGTATGTCAAGGAATGCACAGAGCCCTGTAAAAACTTGGTTTTTCATATGACATGTAAAGCGCTTCTTGGCTCTGACATATACTGATGGACAGCCTGACAGTTCAGGGTTAGGAGCCCCTCAGCTCTGGCTGATAAGCTCAAAGTGGCACAATCGTTGCCATGTTGTATGTGACTATCTAAAATATATATTTTTTATCTTTGTTGTGCATCTTATGTTTATTTTTGCAGAATCAAGTGCCGTGTCCTCCTGTTATGTCTGATGTCTACCCAGGACCTAATCTCGCAGTGATACCAGAGTTCTGCCCTGCACCCTTCTAACATAGTTTATCACCGTAAATTGAACCACAACACTTCAAACTACCCACTTTGAAGTAACCTATCTAATATAAACTCCGGATACAAATTGAATTATTAGCATTTAATTTGCATTCAATTTCAACAACCACCAAACAGCTAAAACAGTAAATGAGAGCAGGAACACGGATTCTGCACAAAGACGTAAACACAAAGCGCGGACCTGCGGATCAGAATCAGTGAGATGTCGCCTTTCTCATCCGACGGCACGGACACGGTCGGGGCTGAAAGCCAACAGCTCGCTGATTCTGATCCGTCGGCGGGTCCGCGCTTTGTGTTTACTTTTTGCGCTAGATTCAAAAGCTGCAGGTTTTATCTCTCTCCAAACAATATTGACTGAACCAGCAGCAAAAGGAGATCCAAACTACACTTCACATAAACATCGTCATGAATTCCCTCTGACTTTTGATGTTTTGCTTCCACCACGATAAAATCACACTTCATGCACAGCTCTCTCTCTCTCTTTCTCTTTATACTCCAAGAACAGTTTCCCATCTAAAAATCTCTGTTTTCTGCATTATTTGCTTGCTTGTTACGCACAAGTCTACCGTTGTTTACAGCGCTGTCGGCCGCTGTTTTTTCCCCTTTACTTACTTCCGAAAAGAAAACCTAATTTCTGCCATTCAATAGGCTTCTGAAAAAATGTAAACTTTTTAAAATTATGCAAAATTGCAAAACGCTCAGCTGTGTCTTTAAAACCTCTGTAACTTTGCTCTGCTTCACTTCAGCAGCATCAGGTAATGTTCATATGTTGATTAATGGTTTTCTTTCATTTTTGATCTACTGCAGAATATTTTTATAAAATCCCAGGCCAGGAAAATCACCTTCATGTTTTTCTGTTTTATCCTCAGTTACTTTGACACAAAGACATCTACTGTGATGCTTACACATTTGATAAAGTCTCGCAAGTGTCAGCTTCCTTTTTATAGATATAAAAATATGGAAATGTACTGATGCATGATCTGAATTATAATATTTCTGACTGTCTGAGGCAAAATTTCCCCGAATTGAATCAAATTGAATCGAATGGTGGATCAAATCGATTCAGGACCTTGTGAATCGGAATCGAATCGATTCTAGAAATCAGTGACGATACCCAGCCCTAATGTACATTTCTAGTTTATCAAATCACACTTGCTGAGCAGTCTTTACCTTCAAAATCAACCTCTCAGCTTCCCCTCACGTTCTCTCTTTCTTACATCATTCCCCATCTCAGACTCTGTGTTGACCTCTAAGAAGGAGAACAGAGATGAGTTTGTGTGTCATGTCTGCTGAGCTGTTTGAAACGTTGAATTTGAAATTACCTTTTAAAAAATTGTTCAGATTATGCTCATTTAATTTCTGTAGTGTTAACTTGGGTGCAGAAGTGCCAAAAACATCTTCACATCTGAACCATGAACACAGCACAGGCATGAGATGGGAAAAGGGTGTGTGCAGACAGGATCATCTGGTCTGCGTGTCTCGGGACTCTGTTTTGGGTTGTTACATTCCCCTTTAACCCCTGAACATATGCCATTTTTGAAAACCAATAATAACACCCTCCTCTGTTTGCTTGCTTCGCTGTAGCATCATTTTCATTTACTCTTGAGGCAGTGGGGAAGTCAGGCTCTCTGAAGACAGTGTGCCCTAATATCTCCAACTGCTCGCTTTCCTTTCTGAATTCATTGGCCTCTGACCAATTTGGCAATGCTCAGAGGAGTTTTCAGGAAAATCTGAGGAATCTTCGAAGACATGCCGCTGCAGTAGATCAATATTGATGTTACTGTCATAGCCATAAAAAACAGCGTTGCTTTGAGCTGCCATTAAATATTAATTTTTATGCATGGGCATAGATTCAAACACGCTTAATTGCTTTTGAAGGACATTATGCCAGGAGGAGATGATCTGTCTTTCTCTGATATTTCCTTTATTATATAATCTTGTATAGAACATCACCAGGTTTGTATTTGTTGATAATATTTCATGCAAACTGACAGCTTATAAAGTTACAAAGGTTTGTGGCAGTTCATTTTTAGACACTAGCTGTAACATTGGGTTTCTGTTTCCTCTTGGGATTGAAATGATGATCTTTTTTGGTTTTCAGGTACTTTTGGAATGAATTTTAAGATTTTAATGATCACGTTCAACATCACGAGCAAAAGAAAGATTTCGTAAACCTGTAAAAAACAAACAAACCCAAAATTGGACTACATTATGCCAGCTGTGAGGCACGGTGGTTTATGGATGACCATTTGAGCTTGTTTTGTAGGCACAGGATCTTGGCACCTTCCAATCATTGAGTCAGCCACGTACTTCTCTGTATACCAAAGCATTCTAGAGTGAAACGTGAGCCCATTTGTCCAACAGCTCAAAGGACAACGATCTCAAACATAGCAACAAATCTACAAGAGAATTAAAAATCTATGTCTTATATCATTGTTGTCCAATATATATTTATATTTGCATGTTTAAATAATACTGTCACTGCTGCTTTACAGCTCTTATTCACATTTTTCTAGACTTAAATTCTTCCAGAGAGATGGCACTAAGAAAATACATTATAAACTAGCACTTAGTGTACTTTGTATCAGCTCTAATTCAATCCATGGACTCAAATCATCTATTCAGACTCAAAGAGAGAAACTGTAAAATATACTAAATGGAAAACCAATTAGTGGATGCCCTATTGGAGTAGTCAAGAACAATCTGGTGCTTTAAAGAGCAAGGTGTACTGAGGTTTGTGCAAATCTTTCCTGTCCGTTTCTCTCAACCTAATTAAAATCATGTGTGGGCACAGGGAGATGCAGGATATACAGATGCAGATTCTTCTCTTCTAACATTTAGTGTCTATCCCTGTGGTGGCATCAGACATGTCCTCCAACAAATATGTCCAGGACAAGTTAGTTCCCGGAGGCTGGCTCACCTCCAGATCCAAGTACCAAATTGTAACTCCTTGGAGAATGGTCTTATGGCACAGTTGCAAAATGTGTCAGAATAGCTGACAAAAAGACTGTAGCCATTAAAATAATGAAACATGAGAAACCAAAAGACCTGTTAGAAAACCAAGATGTAAATATTGCTCCCTAGAATTTCAGTTAGAAAGATGTGTGCAGTGGATGTAAGGACTGTGATGAAATGCCTATAAAATGTTTATTTCTGTAAAACTAATGTAAAAACCATCTGTAACCTATGTTTCTAGCTCACTGCCCTGAGAAGACTTAATGCCTATAAGTCCATCAAACACAGTATAGTTCAATGTCTTTTAGAGACAGTGGACGTCTATGTCTTAAGTTTGAATATCTCGAAAAAAGTGAAAGAAAGAAATTTCAAGCCGCTTAGTTTAAAGGCAATTCGTCCCATCATCATGCAGGTATGTTTAACTCCCTAAATGTTTTGAAAATGGACACTGATAAAATTTTATCATAACATGACATATTCTTTGATAACTTTCAGATCGCAAGAGCTCTTAGTCACCTCAACTCTACTGGAACAATACATGCAGACCTGGAATTAGAAAATGTAATGTTGGTGAAACATCAACACGTGCCACACTGAATTAAAGTAATTGACTGTGAAACCTCAGCTGCCAAAGACCCGTCCTTACCAGTAAGTAGCTGGAATCAAATTTAATCTCTTCCTCACACAGTCACACACACTTAAGTGTTTTTGCTTTATGTTAGGGGTTTCTTATCTGTAGTATAACTCATACTTATCCAAATGATCAGTATTAACAAAAAATGTAACAATGATTTCTTTTTTCCCTCCATCAGGTCTCCAGAGATTATTCTAGGGCAGAAGTCGTAGATGTATGGTCTCTGGGTACATCTAGGCTGGGTACATCTGAGTTACATAATGGAGACCCAAGGGCAACCCCGAGAGAAAAAGTTAGACTGTGGGCAAAACACTGCCCACTTTTTCTGCACAGAGTTAAATTCCTGCAACAACTACCACTGGTAAGTCAAAGTACCCACCACTTCACCACTGCTCTGGTTAATCCTATCTTTAAACCTATTAGCATTTTACTTATTTTCTAACCCTTGATTTTTAATGTATTGTAAAATATAAATTTTGTTGTGCCCATTTATCCAATGTGCTAACAAGTTCCCCGTCTTTTCAGACACTTGAGCAATATTTCCAAGTGTCTGAGGTTTGGTTCATGGAGACAAGAGAAATAAAGTTCTCTGGATGACCTCTTCTATGTAAGTATACTTTTTGACCATTTAGTTGGCAAAAAAAGAACATGTTTCTATGGAGAACATGACACCCTCAAATAAGTCTCTTTAGTTGACCTTTGTTGCTTTCTTCCCCTTTCAGATCACTGAGCATCAGGATTATGCAAATAAGTCCTGCTATGAGCACATAAATGTTTTTATTACAAAGAAGACAGCGACATCAGATAGCGCGACAGAAGTGTGTGGGTCTCTGCACCAGCCCCCCTCTGACACCAGACAACCTGCCCAACAGAACTTCCCCTCCCCCCAATTCATCAGGCCCAATCACTAGAAAAATGCTGAGACATTTACAATCAAATCACAGTTTAAAAGAAAGCGTCTTGAAGAAGATATAAAGGATATGGGTGTGCCAGAGCTTAAAAGAAAAATGACTGATTGGAAAAACGCAAGCAGAAAAATATCATATCAACATGAAAGGTCACATCATGACCAGAACAAATGCCATTATTCAACGGGTCCATCTTGCGCAACCAGTGGCTATCTCGGCAAGCCAGACCAAACCTACTTTGACAGGTCAAATAAGAGGCCCAGAGCAAACTACAAAGACGATAAGAGCCACATCTCCGATAACACCCTACACTACATCTACCACTACCTCCCTACACCCAAGAAAATGCTAAATAAACCAGCTGTGATACTGGTGACTGGTCTTGATCAGTGTTTGGGTTTTTTTTGTTTGTTTGTTTTTGTCACTATCTGGACTTTTGTTTCTGTAATTTGAGGTCATCACATTTTTTAATTTACTATTTTTATATCTTATAAGCACAGAAGAGCACCTTTTAAATTTCAGTTGTTTTATTTTATCTTTTGTTTGTTAAAGGTCTAGTAGTATTAATCACAGAAAGAGGCTTACTGTCACAATATTATCATTTGTGAAAAACCTCTGTGTGCAGCTGATGGCTAAAATGTTTTTTCCTTTGATTCAGATTTATTGTATTCAAAGTAGAATAGAAATATTGAATAACTATACCAGTGCAAGTTTAGGCACTGTATGGTTGAAAATAACATTTGTTTTTGGAGGTTATTTAAATATATTGTGATATATATCGTGTATCATGATATAGCCAAAATATATTGTGAAAACGTGCCAAATACATTATTCTGCTATTGACTGTTGTTTTAAGCTTCTTGTACCCCAGATAGTGAGCATGGACTCTGCTACAGTAGTCAGCTGGTGTCTGATCCAAGCATGAAACACTTGAATGGTCTTCATATTGTATGTGCTATGTGGCAGAAAGCTATATTACAGTGTCAAAACCCCCAAAAATGCACAGGTTGAGCAAAATACAAGAACTCAAATGGAGTCTGAGGTTTTGTTTTTAATTAATTAACTAATTAATTGATTTTAAACTTTATTTTGAGAAATTTGTTGTCCAAGAACAGAAAAAAATAAATACCAGAAGCTTCTCATTTTAGCTGTATTTGCATATGGGGAAAAATGCTCACAGCTTATTTTGAGTTCTTTCGTAGACCTGAAACAGGCCAAGTATAAAATCACTCTTACTGTAAGATATTTACATTTCAAGTAGAGTTAGCAGTTATTCTCAGAAGGTTAACACTGTAAGTCTGTCTTTTGGAATTAAAACGAGCTTAAAATAAACCAGGACTAGTATTTTATCTGCTTTTTTTAGATCTGTCTTGTCTTTCTTGAATGCTACCATTCTTATTCAAGGTTTGGGTTCAATGAAAGGTCACTGTCACATTACTTTTGAGTTACTTGTCCCATCAATGCTATTCACAGTCAAAATTTGTAAAGGCTGATTAAGAGGTATACACCATCAGCCTGAATTCAACCAGATTTTCTCCCCAGTTAGCCAGTCACTGTAAATGCTTTTCTTGTACAGAAATTAACTAGAGACTGTAGCAGCAAGTGCTGTTTTTCATGCTTGATTTAGATAAGCATGGCTGTTTTATATTCTGGAAAACTTGAATAACCCATTAGCTGCGAGCATTGGCGCTGACTGATGGCTCCAGTCCATGTGTGGATTGGGCTGCCTCAGCAGCAGTGGTAAAAGATTTAAGAGCGCCAACCTTCAGGCAGGTTCTTCTCTGCTGATAACCACGGGGGATAGCCTAACGCATGCTGCCCTTAACTTATCCTGACTAATTTATAGTGTGGCTCGCTCAGGGCACATTTCCAATGCTGGACTTCAGAGCACGCTGCAGCCTCTCACAGCTGGCTGAACAGACTAAAGGAGCTCCGCCAGGCTGCCACTGAGACCTGTGCCTGCCATTCTGGGCCGGTACGGCTTGGCTCTGATTCGACTGAAGTCAAAGGGAGTCATCTTAGGGAGAACACAGGGAGCGACAGGAGTAATGATAGCTCTGCCTGATAGTTTCACTTAATACACGGGACTGTTCCTGAGTATTAATCAGGAAAAAACAATTGTACTTGTTTGTGAATTAAAGCACATATTGTCTACAATTTCATATAATCCAATTGCTAACACATAGATCCTGTGCAATAACCAACAGTTTGTTTGTTTTCTCAATAAAGTTCCATGAGAATATTGTTTTCCTGCATGTCAAATGATGAAAACAATCAGCTCTGCGTTAAAAACAAAAAGGTGCAGGAACCTCACTATTAACACATCCTATTATGCCTGTTCAAGAAGAAGAGTAATTTTCCTTCCTGTGCAGACCCAACAGTTTCTTGCTTAAGAGCGTATTTCTTAAGAAATATCTTAAAACTGGTTCAAGAAGAGTCACACAAATCACTGTAAAGATGCTGACTGTGTTATCTTGGGATGCAGTTTGTGTTAAGCTAACTAGTTACTGAGATGTATTCGTATTAGGGTTGACACGATACTAGAATTTCATATTTAATACCAATACCCTGGAACATACTTGATACTGTTTTCAGCACCATTTCAGTAAATTTCGACTCATCTAATTTTCCTCATTTATAACTTACAGTTAACAAATTAAATATTTCAGATTAAGTAATAGTTTTATTATACTTTTTAAAAAAAAATTATTTAGACAATTTTATTAGACATTTTTTATTACAGATTGTCAAACTACATTTACGAACTCACTAATAAACAGTACAGCAAACAACACAATACCTAACTGATCTAAATAATGAAATCATTCTAGAAGGAGAGCATTATGGAAAAGTTAAAAATGAACTTTGAATAAAGCGTGGTATTAGTTACGCTGAAATAAAGGAGGTATAAAAAACAGAGCACTCACCAGAGTTGGGCAGTAATGCGTTACAAGTAATGTGTTACTGTAATCCAATTACTTTTTTCATGTAATGAATAAAGTAAGGGATTACTATTACAAAAAGTAATTAGATTACTGTTACTTTCCCGTAAGCATGCTGCATTACTGCATTACTAAACTGTGGTTTTGTTTGTGAGAGTGTCTCATGACAATGACATGTTTTTAAAAAGTAACTAAGTAATAAAGTAACTAATTACTTTTGAAAATAAATAAACAATAAAGTAATGGGATTACTTTCTTTGAGAAGTAATCAGTAATTAGTAACTAATTACTATTTTCAAGTAACTTGACCAACACTAGCAGTGACTGTGTAAGCTTGAACTATTCAATTCAATT